CCCGGGGGAAGCCCCTGCAGCCCCCCCCAGTCTCCGGCCATGATGCACTTTAGTTCTGGTGTTGTCCCCGGGGGAGGAGGGGCCTGGCAGGAGGCGGTCGCTTCGGGTGCTTCAGTTACTCTGTACAAAGACTTATACATACCCGTGTAAATGCAGATTTGTACAAACCCTATAACTGTAAAATAAACAGTTACTAAACACGCTTCCTTCCCCCCTCCCTGTGCCGCCAGGGGCCCTGGCGTGGGGCTGGGGGTGCCAGGTCCCCTCTCGTGGCCCCCCGTGGCCCAGAGCTGGCACATCCCCGTGGCAGCCGGGCCACTGACCCGAGTGGCCTCGCACCCGGCAGCCCCGTGGGAAGCGAAGCAGGAGCGGAGCCAAACGGCGTTTGCGTGCCCCGGTTGCTGTTCTCCTTCCATCTGCCTACCTTTGGTTAAACGCCAGGACTTGCACGTGCCGTCGGCTCTCCGGGGCCTCCCCCCATCGGCGGCAGAGCGGGGCTGTAAATAGCCGGAGTCATTTCCTCAATGGCGCTCAAAGCCCTGTGGCAGGGGACATGCAGGCAGGGGCCCGCAGGGCGTTGAGGGCTGCTGGGGCCTCAGGGGGGGCCAGGGCAGGTGGGACTGAGGTTTTACCGCGGAGGGGGGCCTGGAGAGCCAGCAAAGCTCCGTTCCTTGTGCCGTGAGCCTGTTACTGCATTAATGTGATGCCCAGCTCTGTGGGTGCCCTGCCTGGAGCCCAGACAGTGAGCCCAGCACCAGCCGAGGGGTTAAACTGCCCACCGGGGTCCCCCGCAGCCTGTTTGGGGCTCAGCACAGAGAACAGCCCGGGAGGAAATGTCTGGGGGCCCTTCTCCCACTCCCCGTCCCCCCCTTGCCCTCCCGCCCCACTCCCTGGCTAAGGGGTCGGCTGCGCCCCAGCCCGGATGGTGGGACCGGGTCTGGCACAGGGTGCCACCAGCCAGGTCCCTGCGCCTTGGCTCTGCTGCAGCACGGTCACGCTCTCACCCCAACACAGTGGGAGGCAACGTGGGGATGTGCCAGCGTGCCAGGCCTCCAGCTGTGCTGGTCCACAGGAGCAGCGTGGCTTTTCAAGGACATAGGGCCAAGCTGGGGGAATGGGAAGGCAGAGTTTGGGGCCCTGGCACTCCCCTGGTCCCCTCTGCAGCTGGCCTGTGCCAGCAGTGGGTGGGTGCCAGCAGTGGGTGGGTGCCCCCAGGGCTGGGGGGGCCAGAGACGCCAGGAGCTCTGCACAACACTTGTGTATTGCAGCACATGGGTTGCCCTAGGGTGACCTGGTGGGTCCTGGCCTTGGGAAGATGTGGGACAGGAGCCTCTCGTCACTGGGGAGCATGGGCAGCCCCCAGGGGAGCGCGGGCAGCCCCCAGGCGAGTGGCAGCGATGCCCCCGGGGGCTCCAGGTGGTCTCTGCTCCTGCAGCGATGCTGGTCCCCGAGCACAGCCCGGCGGTGCGGCGAGGACCCTCCCCCCGGGACA